AGTTTTGCTTTTTTAAATAGCTAAAGCTATTTTTTCTCTTTGGCCAGACTAGAGTTGATTAGGAATAGAAAAAGAAAAGAAAAACCTAAAAGCTAGTAAATTTCTTATCTCTGTGAACACGACATTCTAAGCTTTTTTTTTTTTTTTTTTTTTTTTTTAAATTTTTGAGACAAGGTTTCATTATGTAGGCCTTGGCTGGCATTGGAGCTTGCTAGGTAGACCAGGCTGGCATCAAACTTACAGAGATTCATCTGTCTCTGCTTCTGCCTCCCAGGTGCTGGAATTAAAAGGGTACCCCATTAGCCCCAGCCCTTCATGCTAGGCACTTTGTTTCATCTTATTTAAGTATCATTAAAATGTGTAGCCATGCCTTTACACATAAGCCTTATTGCCTGACCACACCGAAGTGCAGCAGCCCAACTTGGCATTCTCCAGTAGAGGACCTGTGCAATCACATATGTAATTTAAAATTTTTCAGTAACGTTAAAAAAAGGAAAAGTAATTTAGTAAGGTATTTAATTTTTTATATCTGAAACATTATTTTGACATGTAATCAACATAAAAGTAATAAAGTATTGAGAATCTACCTAGCACATCTTAATTCAGGTCCTAGGTGATATCAGAAATGCTTAATTTGTATTTAGATTTCACTAATTGTTTCAGGCTGGAGAAATGGCTCACCAGTTGGGAGCACTTGCTGTTCTTGCAGAGGATGTAGGTGTGGCTCCTGGCAACCACATAGTGGCTCACAGCCATCCCTAGGCACACACACTGTAAAAACATACAAACACTCATACACATAAAATAAGTAAATAGAAAAGAGAAAAAAGTTGGGAATAAGTTTACATATCAAGTTGTATTCCAAATATATTTAAAAGTTTTCTCAATTATAGGAAAAGTCTCAGTACCTGCAGTCAGTTTTTTAAATTAAATTAATAAAAATATACAGGACTGCATATTCACGTCGTCAGTTACCACAGCCACACTGCAAGTGCTCAGTTCTTCACATGACCAGCAGCTGTCATGTTCAACTGAGCAGCATATGGACTGCTTTGATTCTTTGCTTCTTCTTCACTTACCTCACTTCATTGCTTCACTCGGCTGTCAGTAGTCCAGCGCCAAGACTCAAGAAGTATTGTCTTTTCCCTAAATTCTTACCTCCTCCATCCTCTTCCTTTATAGAAATGGTTCTCCTCATGACTTTCTTCTGAGTCCCCATGCTTAGCTTTAGTATAATATCTATAATATTTTAATGTGTGTACTTATGTGTCTTTCTCCCTTTTCTAAACCAAAAAGTGGATGTCTTATTATTTTTTGAGTTCTAATTGCCTATCACAAGGCTGGGACCTATGTGTACTCAGTGAATTTTTATTCTAAGCATGACTGAGTAGAAATTTCAGTAAGGAAACAGCTGACACTTTAGGAACTATTTTGAAAATAGTAAGTTTGAAATTGAATTTAAATATCAAATTGAATGACACAGAATATGAAGGATTCACTGCTTTTCCATCCATTCATTTCATTGACTTGGATGTATGAGATATGATAGAGTATATGGCATAATCTGTCGGATTAGTAGCTCATAATCAAGATAGACACATGTTCTTAGGCACAAATATGCACAAAAATATATCCATTGCTACTTTGTCAGTGCCCAGTATGTTCTTTGGTTCTTAATGAAAGAGAATTCCAAGTTCTATTAGGAGCTTAGTAGTTTATTTAGTTACTTTCCTTGTCCAACTCGTGGATCCCTTCTCAGCTTGAAAAGTTTTCTGTAGCTTTGGTACTAAGTGTTCCCAGCCTTTTGGCTTGCTCAGTTTAGGTTATGAATAACCACAGGGCAAGTCTCCTTATCTAAAAGTTTCTGACACACACCTCCTTGCAATGAAGATTCTTTAAGATGCCTCAAATAAGGGTCCGGGGAGATGGCTCAGCAGTTAAGAGCACTGCGGCTCTTCCAAAGGATTGGCGTTTGAATTCCAAACCCATGACATATGACACACAGCCACCTGTGACTTGAGATCCAGGGGGTCTTTGACCTCTGAGGGACCCGCATATACATATGCCTGTGTGCAGACGCTTGCATGCCACACACATGCACACACACGTTTGTGCAACCCTGCATGCGCGTGTGCACACACGTAAGTATAAATAAATAGTAAAGCAAATCTTTAAGAACAAGTGCTGAGGGCCCATACGGCATTAGCCGGAACAGAGCTCTTTAGCTACTTCACTCAGTGACATAGCCCAGTAGTTAGAGTAATGGCTGATACATAGCAGATGATGAAGACTTGTTGAATGAATAAACCTACATAAGCATGGCAACAGATGTTACTTTTTTTCTTATGCTTTGACAATGTCATATAGGTATCTAATTAATTTTAGTCATTTTATCCCATTTCCCTTGCTTATTTCCTCTCCCTCTTTTCCTGAATCCTTTCTTCTTTCTAAGAAGTCCTCCTCCTGCTTTCATGTCTTTTGTGCTTGATGAGTCTAAGTAGGGGCTATTTACTGTAAAATGGGCAACTTTCCACTGAGAAAATGACACTTCTCTCACCAGCAGCCATTAACTGCCAGTAGAACTGCACATGAAGGGTGGGGCCTCATGAACCCTCCTTTGTCCATGGTGAATTGTGGACTGGCCCAGTCTTGGCTGGTCTCGTTCAGGCAATCACAGCAGCTGTGGGTTCATCCATGCATTGGCCTTGTTGGTTCTTAAGACTTAACAGCACGCTTCCTCATCCTCTGGTTCTTTTATTCTTTCTGTCCTTACTTCTAGAATGTTCCCTAAGTCTTAGAAGGGGTCGTGTGCATGTCCTGTTTAGGGTAGAGCACTATCAACTTCTTGGCACATTGGCCAGTTTTGAATTTCTTCGTTAACTGTTTCTCTGACAAAAGCTGGGAACAGCACCAATCTGTGGTATAAACACCATTAGTTAATAGGCAATTTGACAACTTGTTTATTTAGCAAAACAACACTAGTAAATTCCCCTTTAGGACCTATGATCCTCCCCAGTCATGGGCTTTTTACTAGGTTTACAGTGCCAGCCATGGGTTCCCTTCTGTGGATTGGGCCTCAAATCAGAAAGCCACCGTGTGACTCTCATGGCAGGTCACTACCGCAGCTTGCAGGGCTCATGGCTGAGTAAGACATGTTGATTGCTTTCTTCCCTCAGCAGTCTGCATTGTGCCTTCTGATACAGTGAGAGCGAGCCAGCAGAAAGGAAGCTCCCAACTCAGTTACAGCTTGAGTTCTCTGTGTTCTATAAGTGTGTGGTTACATTTCAGGGTCTTCCCATCAAATTCTGTTGGACAGCCAAGAACAGTGGCAAAAAAAAAAAAAAAAAATCTGTATCGTTCTAGGGGCCATTGGTGTCTCCTGACCAAGTAGGGAGGTGTCCCACTAGGTATTATTTCAATTTACTTAATTAATTTTTTGTATAATGTTATTGTATATTTATTTTTTTCGTGCTCTTTCCTAGCTAATCCTTCTCTTCTGTGACACTGTTAATCTTATTGCTTCCTAGTTTCTTACCTTTAAAAAGATACTAATGATACCGGATGTGGTATATATGGGACAATTTGCAGTGGCCTATTGCATGAGTATAGTAGATGTTAGTTGAATCTGAGATGAAATTAATACACTAACCTCTTGGCCTTCCTTCATCCAAAGATGGCCCCTATCTCCTTCCTAAGCAAGTTAACAGTCTTGTAACTAAGAATTGAGGATTGATTTGGCATAGGTAGGGATTTCTGTGAGTCAGGCTGTGAACGGATATATGGAAAGCTAGCCACCTGAATACTTCTGTGTGCTGACAGAGTACTCTGTGAGATTCCACAGCATACTTCATAAGATCTGGTGTAGCTTGTTTGCTGAAAAGGTGGTGGTGGGGGAAGTGTTGTTTCTTCTTGCTAGCTGTCTTAGGTTCTGGTTCACAGTTTAGATCTTCTCTCCTATGCTACTCCTGGTAGCAGTTTCCTGGCAGACAGTGATGCTGACCAGCTATGTGGCTTTGGTGGCTTACTTTCAGGAAAGTCAAGGTTCACATACATGTGGGTCCATTAGTAGGTATTTGCTGGTGAGTACAGAAAACACCCATCAGTGAGTAAGGGAGTTGGCAAGAACATCCTAAAGCACACCAGCCCTAGTTATTCTTCTCTCAACTATATTCTGTTCATCTACTTGTGCAGATGAAGCTTCTAATCTGCCATCTTACTCGGAAGTTCATAATTTGAACTTTCAAATCATCATAGGGAGCTCATCTTGTTTTCTCCTTTTTATTCAGTCCAGGAAACCAACCCATGGAATGGTGCCACCCACATTTGGTGCTGGTGATGGAGTGTTCTCACTTTAACCCAATCCAGAAACCAGAAAGACATTCCTAGAAATTTTAAGTGATCCTAGATCTAGTCAAGTTAACAATAATAATCATCAAAAGTCTACCGTTTGCCAACTTGACATCCAAATACATCCTTTTAAGCCATCATTTTAGACTCATGACAATCTGATCAGTCAGAATGCATTCAGTTGAACTTCAAACAAAACAAAAGAAAAAAAAAACTAGTCTTTAACAGATCTAAAACTGTTCACAGGTATAAAGGCAGCCTTTTCTGAGACTCAGGCAGTCTCTTAACTGTGAATGCCTATGAACAGCTTCTGTGTATCCAGTATACAGTGGTACAGAGTAAACACTCCATTCCAAAAGGAGGGAATAGGAGCATACCAGGGAGAGAGCCAACTGAAGCAAGCCTAAACCCACAGAAGATAACAAATCCTGAAACTTTTATCTTTTTTCTCTTCTATAGAAAAGCCAAACCTTTTCCAATAAAACCTTTTTTTATATTTGTATTAATTTCCTTAGAATGAAATCTGAGGTGTATTTCTTTGCTAAGAACTACTAATGCATACTGGTACACGTATTGAGTCTTGTATTTCTTTCCTCATGACTTATCCTTATCTCTTTCTATAACAATAGACTGGAGTGATGTGAGAAAACAGAAGTATGGTCACATGTCAGAGTCTGCATCTCAGTATCAAGGTAAGAAAAAACTATTTAGCATGAAAAATTGTATTCAATATCTCTTGCCATACAACAGTTGTTCTTAGAGGTCTATGTTTACAATTAATTGACTGGTTAAATCAAAAGCATATATTATCATTTATAGAGGTATTTGTCAAAAACAATATACTTTTGATGTGGAAACCTAGATCCTGAGTGTAAATAATCCCAAATTAATGTTATTGCCCTAGGCACAGTTGTTCAGCCTCTGCTTTTTAATTTTTACTCATTTAGGCTCAAAAGGAAGGCAAAATTGAATGCTATGCTTCTATAGTTATTAATAAACTCTTTTAAATGAGGTGATTGTACTAGATAAACTTTCAACCCCCTGTTTTGAACCAGAACTTTACCTTTTTATCATTCTGTTACATTCTGTTACATAATGACCTATGGTTTAATACTTCTTTTCTTTAATAGAACCTGCTGACATCCAGGAGCTAGGTGAGATATTTTTCTTTTTCTGTTAAATAAGGGATTTACCAAGCCAAAGATTTGATTGTAAGAAGTTTTAATCCACTAGGAAAAGAAGTCCATGTATCTTTGCTTCATAATCCAGAAATCACTGTTTGCCTAATTAGCATGTAATAACTTAGATGTCATATCAGGTCCTCCTTACCAGTAGGCTACAGACCAAGATAACAAAAGGGGAAGGGGCACGGCTAAGTATACAGAGTACAGGTAAGACAGGAAGCCAAACCAAACTGGGAGTAACTTCTTAATCTACCAAGCCCAAGCTAAAACAAACCTTCATTGTTCACAATACATTTAGTGAGATTTTTCCTAAAAAAAAAATTATCAATAGGATAGGTTGAACCAAAATTAAATGTAAAGATATCTTTTGTATACAAACCACAGGAAAACACAAATACATCTGTTTCAGTAACAAGTCATACCAGATGCATTTGTTTTTCATCCTACAAAGTAAATTTCAGGACTAAGACCGGAGAAATAAAACTAAACAGTTATGGTTCTCAGTCAGCTTTTAAGGTTTCTACATAAACGCTAGTCTGTTTCTTAGGGTCCTATGATGTTCTGTGTATCACAGATATTTTGATATCCTTGTACCCTTACCAAATTTTGCTCAAGAATTTTTATACATTTTATTATTATAATTTCATGTGTTCAGCAGTATTAATTATCTACTTTCTTCCTCTTGTCCTTTCTTCTTATAGTTCTGTTAGTGCTGATATAGGAAATAACAAAGTAGAAAAGTAGAGGAGGGGTCCAACAGAGTTCCTCGGTTGTTAAGAGCTGGCTCGTCCATTTAGTCACTTTGTGACTGTGTCCTTAGTGTTATTATTAGTTAAATGGGAATAATAACCTCATCCTGTCTGCTTCACAGGGTTGAGACAATCACCTGAGCTAGCGAATGTGAGAACATCATAAACCTTGAGTGTGCTTTTAAACTGGAAAATTGTAATGCTTTTCATTCTTCTCAGCAGCTGAGCTCACACTTTAAGTCCAATATGATATTCTTTGAAGTGAAGCATTATGAATGTGAGCTGAACAGTGAATGAAATTAAATGATGACGGGCAAAGTACCTGGGACTTGATAAACAAATGATAGATAATACTTTACTCTTTAAATTTTTCTTCAAGCTTTTATGGTACTAATGTGTAAGTGGGAAAACCATGGAGACAAGCTTGGTTCAATTCCTATTCCCTGTCCATGAGTTTTATAACTTCAAGCAAATTAATCTTTCTGACATAATTCCTCATTTTAAAATGAACATGAAATGATGTGATCAGGCAAAGGAGGTGCAGTCATACCTGCTGTGATTTTGGTCTTATTGCTAATGTTAATAACGATAACAGTTGTAGCTCACATGACAGCCTTGGGCATGTTGTAAATAGTGCATTTGTTGACAGGGAGTTTCATTACCCATTTTATGTGAAGTATACCACTTAGCAAGGGAGTTTATAATTTGAAAGTACAATTTTCCTCATGAGAGTAATTGGTAGCATAGGTCTATTCTCTGGTATACATTACAGCTGTGTGACCTATTTTTTTTTTTTTTTTCTGTGACAATTCAGAATAGAAGACTTCTGGAGCCTTCATTCTGAACAAGACCCTAAAATAATCTGATTGGAGGGCTGGACTATACCTCAGTGATAAGAGTGTTTGCCTAGCATGCTCAAGGCCCTTGATTTGATCATAACAGTGATAATTATTATTTGCTTTGTTGTAGCATTTTAGAATTTGACATTTTAAATTGCTTATTGAATGTTTTGAGTACCTCAAATTTTTAGGAATTTAATAGCCTCTTCAGGTAAATTACTTCATATTAGACAGGTATCTATTGAGCCAAATATGTTTCTTCGTAATTTCTATTAACCATGTTCTAACTTATAGCGCGATGCAGAAGAGAGTTAGCTTTCTGGTTATTAGGTGGCAGTTCTAGGGACCGCCTTCTCTCTGCTGCTATGCCACTTTCATAGTGCAGCCACTGTCATCTCACACCTAGATTTTTGCAGACCTTCCTAACTAGTCTTCCAGCCTCCAGCCTTATTCTTCTCCAGTCCACTTTTTGACACTGCACGCTAAACTTATCAGTATTCTATTTCTCAATAACATGGTGAGTTAGTTCTTTGTCTTGATACTGTAGCAGAATACTTGACAGAAGCAACTTAGGAAGAAAAAAGGTTTATTTAATCTGAGTTCATACTCATGAACAGGGCATGTACAGAGTAAAGCAGTAGGGTTGTCAGAAGCTTAAGACAGCTAGCCATAGCCACAAACAAGAAACGGAGGGAGGCAAATGCCTCTGTCAGCTAACCTTCTCCATCTTACGTAGTCTGAAACCCACTGAATGGTGTAGTTCACATTTAGTGTGGGTCTTTCCCCCTTAATTAACCTAACCTAGATGAACCTTTACAGACATGTCCAGATATTTGTTTCTATGGTGCTTCTAGGTCCTATTGGGTTGACTATATTAACCATGTGGAATAAAGAGTGCTTTGATACCCAAACACTTTTTCTAAAGTCTACAACCTCTTTTTGAAACTTCTCTCTGAAACAGTTTGCTTTCGCTTTGACTCCTGCTTATCTTATCCTTTTATATTTAGGAGCCCGAATGTTATTGCCTCTGGGAAGCCTTCCACAAACCTTCTGCGTGCTCCTACAGCACCCTCCACCTCTCCAAGTGCAGCCCTCACCACACCTTTCTGCCATGGATCATTTAGTTTCTGCCCCTCACTAGACTGAAGCTCACCAGAACAAGGGCAATATTTTGATCATGGTTGTGTCTCCAGTGCCCAGCACAATACTGTAAATAATTCTTGGAAGAATGGGTGAGGAAATGGCTCTGACACTTTGCTTTCTTACTCATGATTAATGTTAATGGATTGTTTCTTCAGTTGGTTTACAGGTGACATACTTTTGGATCTCTAACACAAAGTCACCGTTTTTATTCTTGTGTGCTGTATCTCTCTCAGAGTCAGGCCAAACTTAATGCCCATGCATGATGTTACTAGTCCAGAATATAAGTGGGACTTGTATGCTTTTTTTCCCTTGCTTTCATTCACCCAAAAACTTTGATTGGGACTATATTAAGCTTCAAGGCTCTATATTAAATAGTGAGGTTGAAAAGGAATAAATACTTCCCATCCATAAAGAGCTTAAGTAGCTCATCATAGTGATATGATGGGATGGGTGCAAAAGGCTCTTAAAGGAGACAAGGAAAACTAGAAGGCTTTGCAAATAAAATAGTGTTCTTGTTGAGTGTCATGTCTAGTAGTGGCATGGACAAAGGTACAAGACCAAGCAAAGTACTCAAAAAGTGTGTTTGAGGAAACGTTTAAGCTTCCATTTAGCTAAGTGTCATGATTCTGAGCCTGTGAAACCTCCCAAACCCAGACCTCTTTCACTTCAGGTTTCCTGCCTGAACTCTCCAGAACATTATCAAAGCCTCTTTTCTTCATCACCTAAAAAGAACAGTAATGTTGCTCTTAACGTTTTATTTATATTAAATAACAGTACCTCAAGTGACTTTTCTTTTTCATTTTTTTTCCTCAGTGAAGAAACTACATAAAAGCTGAAACTTTTTTGTTTGTTTGTTTGTTTGGGTTGGTCTTGTTTTGTTTGAGGTCTTTGTTGTTGTTTTGGGGTTTGGTTTGGGTTTTGATATGGTTTTGCCCAACCTTCTCTAGTCTTAAGGCATTTGATGAAGACTGTGCACACTAATCACTTACACTTCTCTGTGCATGAATATTTAACAACCCCAAACCAGATGGTTGGAATGTATGTTAATGAACTCTATTGCATTGATTCTGGGAGCAAAGCTTCCCCTTGAAATTTCCCCTTTTAGCCAGGGTATTTATGAGCACTTTGTTTTTAGCTAAGAGGTTTCTTTGTGGTGTATTTGAAAGGACACTAATATAGTTCAGTTCATGTTATTTGTTTTCAGAAATTATTTTTGGTTTCATTTTTTATTTTTAGCTGATCCATTAAAATATGAAGCTGATAATTTTAAAAGGTTCTGGATGATGTTTTGAGAGTACCATTAAACATTAGACATTTTAGAATGATTGGATTTTGTTAGTTATATATGCTACTATTTATTAATTATCTGAAAAAATGCCAAGAACACGTAGTATGGAAGGTGTGAGTTATTAAAAGAACTCACTCCAGCAAATTACTCAAGTTGATTATGAAATTACATGAAACAGTGATCCTGATGCTGGGGTAGACAGACTAATGAGAATAGAATAGCATCCAGAAATAGATCTAAGAATCTATGAAAAATTAACATAAGATCAAAGTGATTTCAAATCCGTGGAGAGAAGATGGTTTATTCAGTAGATGATGTTGGAGCACATTTGTTGGGGGGAAAAGTGAAAAGGAAACCTAGATGCTTGCCTAATTTATTTCATAAACTAAATTACAAAAAGATCAAATGCTTACATATAAAAAACAAAAACAGACATCCTTGAAGAAAACTTGAGTTAATATTTTTATAATATTGAAGTGATAAAAGTGTGGTATGAAATCCAAGAAGCCATAAAAGGAATGACAGAGAAACATAAGAACAAACCCTACCAAATGAGACAAGCATCTTAATCATATAGATGAAGGGCTATTATTAATTTGCAAAGACCTTAGACTCTATAAGAAATGGAAGTTTATGTTAGCAGAAAGGTGGCAAAAAATAAAAACAAGTTAAGAAGCCTTCAAAGATCTTCAACCTTATTATTAATCAAAGAACTGTCTAAGAAAGTATAGTAATATTTCATTTAGCTTTGCTTTCCTTTTTTTTTTTTTTTTTTTTTTGGTGCTGTTATGATTTATCAAATGTCCCAGCATTTGGGAAGGTAAGGCAGGAGCACCACTAGTTTGAGATCAGCCTAGGCTAAGTACCAAGTTTTAGGCCAGACTGGGTTATGTAAGTGAGAGCCTGTCTCAAAAAAAATATGTGTATCAAAACCTAGAAGTTGTCAAAATATAATTTTAGCAAAGGCATGAAATACATATACACATATTCTTTATTTTTATTTTAATGATATATTATTTGAGCGTTGCCTACATGTAATTCATATCTATCCCCTCTTTATTCATGTACTTACGATAGTAATAGAAATTGCCATACTTTTTCTAGAGGATATTTCAGCAATATATATTGTATCAAAACTTAAAGTATCCAGTTTGTCTATTAATCCTATTAATCCTTTGGTATTTTCCCTAGGAAGACTGTCTTAGTCAGACTTTAATCCCTAACTAAAACCTGAGAGAAAAGGAAGAGGCAAGAGAGGACAATGGTGTGAATATGACAAAATGCTTTATATGCATATTCTTATATGCAATATCTTAATGAAGCCGTTGTTTATAATTAATATATGTTAATAAAAGCATAAAAAGTTAAATTAATAATAGAAAAGTGCCATAGAGAATTTAAGGGACAATAGATTTATTTTGGGTTATTGTTTCAGAGGTTTTTGTCCATGGTTCGCTTTGTTGATTTTAGATCTGTGGGAAAGCAGATGTATCACGAAGGAAGGTAGGATGCTGATTATCTCATTGCAAACAAGGCAAAGCGGAGTAACAGAAAGGGGCCACAGACAAGATAAACCCTTCAAAGGCATACACCAAGTAACCAGCTTCTTAACTAGATTCCATCTTCCACAGTTGGACCCCACTGTCCCTGGAATCTGTTGACAATTTGAGTCTATCGGTAGATTAAATAATTGATTAAGTCAGAGCCTTCATGTTGTATTCATCTTTGGGAACACCCTCACAGACGCCCACAAGGATGCCTTAATAATCTGCTAGGCATCAGGGAAATGCAAATCAAAACAACCCTAAGATTTCACCCATCAGAATGGCTAAGATCAAAAACTCAAGAGACAACACATGCTGGAGAGGTTGTGGAGAAAGGGGAACCCTCCTCCACTGCTGGTGGGAATATAAACCACTCTGTACAACCACTCTGGAAAGCAATCTGGCGCTTTGTCAGACAACTAGGAATAGCGCTTCCTCAAGATCCAGCCATACCACTCCTAGGCATATATCCAAAAGAGGCTCAAGTACACAATAAGGACATTTGCTCAACCATGTTTGTAGCAGCCTTATTTGTAATAGCCAGAAGCTGGAAACAGCCCAGATGCCCCTCAGTGGAGGAATGGATGCACAAATTGTGGTATATCTACACAATGGAATATTACTCAGCAATGAAAAATAAGGAAATCATGAAATTTGCAGGTAAATGGTGTGATCTGGAAAAGATCATCCTGAGTGAGCTATCCCAGCAGCAAAGGGATGCACATGGTATATACTCACTCATATAGACATATAATATAGGATAAACCTACTAAAATCTGTACACCTAAAGAAACTAATCAAGAGGGAGGACTCTTGCTAAAATGCTCAGTTCCTATCTGGAAAGGCAAAGAGGCTGGACATCAGAAGAAGGAGAAAAGAGGGAACAAGTCAGGAGCCTGACACAGAGGGCCTCTGAAAAGCTCTGCCCTGCAGACTATCAATGTAGATACTGAGACTTATGGGCAACCTTTGGGCAGAGTGCAGGGAATCTTAGGGAAAAAGTGGGAAACAGTAAGATCTGGAGAGGACAGGAACTCCATAAGGAGAGCAACAGAACCAAAAAATCTGAGCACAGGGGTCTTTCCTGAGACTGCTATTCCAACCAAGGACTATTTATGGAGATAACCTAAGACCCCTGCACAGATGTAGCTCATGGCAGTTCAGTATCCAAGTGGGTTCCATTGTGATAGGAACAGGGACTGTCTCTGACATGAACTGATTGGCCTGCTCTTTAATCACCTCCTCCTGAGGGGGGAGCAGCCTTACCAGGCCACAGAAGAAGACAATGCAGCCACTCCTGATGAGACCTAATTGACTAGGATCAGAAGGAAGGAAAAGAAGTCCTCCCCTATCAGTGGACTTGGAGAGGGCATGCGTGCAGAGGGCAGAGAAAGGGAGGGATTGGGACGGGAGGAGGGAGGGAACCACTGGGAGGGGGGGATACAAAGTGAGTAAATTGTAATTAATAAAGAAAAATAAAATAAAATAAAATTAATCTGCTAGGTTCTCTCAGTCGAACCAAGTTAACAACTAACATCACTATCACAGATTCTTTTAGAAGTACTCAAAGATATATAAAAAAGAAATGCATTAAAAAATTAGACAATTCTTAAATAACCATCACAAGTTATTAGGTTCTATTATGTTACATGTATATGTACAATGAAACGATATTTAGGCAGTAATCTTGCAGTAGAATTTCTAATCTAAGGACATTGACCATTATTATTATTCCCCTTAAGGATCTTTCTTTCCACATCTAAGCAGAACAAAGTAGAGTTCTTAAAGAGGAACACACCAGAATAGTAGCCAGCTAGAGAAGCTGATGAATATGTGAATAAACTTGTGTCTTTGTTTGTTACGTCTTCTTTTACCCACTTTAATCCTTTCAAATGCTTACACCGTTGTTTTTTAATTTCTGTGCTAATTGTGTCTTCCCATGCACTAGAATGCAATGTAAATTCCATAAGGTAGGGGTCCCTGTTAAACCGCCTACTCCATGAAAGATGCTCAGGAATGGTGCTGAGTAAATAACTGATAACTTAAATTATAATGCCGGAATGTTTTTAATATTATGCGAATCATTTAAAATACTTATTTTGTATGTGCACTCGCTGCTCCTGAAGAGAAGCAGTTTGGCTCCCAGCACCCAGGTCAGGTGGCTCACCTATAACTCTAACTCTAAGGGGATCTGAGGCCCTCTTTTGGACTCTGGACACCCACGGACATGTGTGTATACTCAAACACTGACATAACACACATAATTAGTATAACAAAAATGAAATATTTAAATCTTCCTATACTATATTCTCATGGTGATCTGTTATACCTTGTTAACTTAAACTTATCTTAATTACAGTATTAATATTAATTACAGTACAAGTAAGTTTAATATTCTGCTTATCTAGTGACTGAAAGTGTTTTGATAACATTTAACACAGTTCTTTATACTTAAATGGACATTATATGTTTATCAAATGAATTTATATATAGTGGTATGTATTATATATACAACTATCTTCATCTTTCAGATGAATAAACTGAGACTCAGAAGGTTATTTTTCCCAAGATATTTGCTATAAAAGCAACATCTTTTGACTTCCAGTGTATCTTTTAAAAATACCAGTAGTCCATAAACACAGATTCAGATTCAAGTAGTACTTGAAGCTGCTGAGTAAAAATGTTTAAAGGTGGCTTCCTGAAAAGGTGAGAACACTTAGGAATCAAGTTTAGACCCTATGTTGTGAAACTACTGTTGGGGCCCATGCTGAGTCTGCTACCTGCTTTTGTCAAGATTTCATAGGCTACAAGCTTTCTCCTTCATTTTCCAGCTGTCTGTTACATCTATGACACTACCACGATGGCAGAAGTTAGCTGTGACACGGACTGTGTGGCTTACGAATCATAACAGTTTTATTATTTTGTTGTTTTTTGAGACAGGGTTTCTCTTTGTATCCTTGGCTGTCCTAGACTCACTTTGTAGACCAGGCTGGCCTTGAACTCACAGAGACCATCTGCCTCTGACTCCCTGAGTGCTGGGATTACAGGGGTGTGCCACCATGCCTGGCTGCATAATAGTTTTATTATCTTAAAAAAACAAAAACAAAAAACTAACTCTTGATCTATACCTTGCTTATGGTCATTTCTTTTGTAATTATTTTAATGCTTGCAGATTCTGAAGTCATAGATATCTGACTTTATGATGAACATGAAAGAATATATTTAAATAATGTGATTAGGTTAATTAAAAGTATCTCACTTTTAAATTTACCTGTGGTGACCCAGACAATCATATAGAAGAAAAAAAGGTATGGTTCAAATCAGTCAGCTGTCCCAGTACATGGGCGGCTTTTAACATATTCCTCTTTCCTCAGTAATACATTTCCTACATGGTATATGCCTGAGGTTTCTGGCCTTTTTACCATATAGCATAGGACTTGATTAGCATGGTTGATATGTATAACAGGCAACTGTAATTATGCTGCCATAATTCTTAAAACCAAAGTTTCTTGGGCACTTTTGATCAGAACTCAAGCTGCTAAAAGCAGTTGGCCCAGAACTGGCCAAGCCTTTAAAACTGTGCTTCTTTACACATGAGTCATATGCACATTTTAAAATTATTTGAAGTTAAAAAAATTTTAAATTTAGTCTTACACTAGTCACATTTAAAATGTTCAGAAGTTATATGTAGCTAGGGTTATCTTATTGGGTAGCACAGACACATAATTCATTTCTGTCTACACAGAAAAGTTGAACTGGACTTGCTGCTTTAGATGGTAGAGAGCTTATGGGTCTCAGTACAGTGAAATCGAAGACTTAAAATTTGACTTAGATCTTTCATGTGTAAAGATGTAATATTAATTTACAATGTTTTCCTTTTCTAATAGCAAATAATGATAACATTATTCAGTCCTCAACTTAAGACCTTCTCAACTAATAGTTATAACCAATACCAAAATTAAATTTTGATAACCGCAATTGAATCTTCACTGCAGAAAATTACCCTCTCACTTACTGTATGGACTGTCTGGTCGTGTTGTTAAATCATTGCCCGGCTTGTGAAATATTTCAGAACTGTTTGGATTTCTGGCCAAAGCTATTTGCTTAGTTAAGGATGGGAAAGGTACCAATTTTAAAACAGAAACTATAAAGTCAATAGAGTGTAAAGTCTTGGCATCATCTTTGTAGTGATTTAGATATCATTATTCAGTGACTTACTTTTATTCCCGGCAGCTAGTGCTTTTTGCATGGCCCAAAGGGGCCCTGTGCTGCTCCACTACAGAGGACACTTCAAGAAATGCTGGTTTTCTACAGTGTTTTAGCTTGTGAAAGTCTCTGGGACCTTCCCTGCTCCATCATGGGGTCACCTCTAGGTGGGTATTAGGGGGAAAACTGAAAATTTCTATAAAGAGCTTGTAATCTTTTGTTGTTCAGTGATATTTGTACATAACAGCCTATGCCTTTCCGTGTTGTCCTGGCCCCAGGGTAGTGTCAGCCTTAAAGATTGCTTCTCTAGTTCACTGTTCATTACCCTTTAGATACTGAAGGCAGTATCAAGAGACTAAAAGATTCTTAAAACCCAGTCTGTTCTTCTGTATTATCATCAGAATTGCTTCCTAAGCCTACTGTGTGCTAGATTACCATACTTACTATTCTGTGCCTCAGTATAGCATTTTGTACCTGGAGTGGCAGTTTAAAAGGTGAGGGCTAGAGTGTATTTATCTCACTCATGTTGCCTTCCCTGAAGTCTTCTTGTCCATGGCTCTAGATAGTCTTTATTCTTCCTAAGTTGAGGTGTGGGATCGAACCCCATTGGGTGCTAATTGCTTTCTGACAGCAGTGCAGGTCTTCACTAGGAGTCAAATTGTTCAAAGTGAACAGTTCCCCCACTACCTTCTGCCTTCTCGGTTTTCCATGGGCTTCTTGGTACTTCTTTGAAATACTATTATAGTCTACTCCAGAACTTTCCATTAGTTTAGAGACTAACATGAAAAACAGTGTAAGTTATCTTAAGACTGACTTTAAAACATTAATTGAAAAAGATTCACCCAGGGCACTTGGATTCTTCTAAGATTACCTTTGATTAAGATCAAATAGAAAAAAAAAAAAGTTTAAACCATTCTACTAATGGCTTGTTTGATGTTTAGTGTAGAGTACATCCTAAAAGTATTTTTTTTTTAGGAAGTTGACTGTGATAGAGATTTCTATTTCCTTTACAGGTCATTTTACCTGGGACAAATACCTAAAAGAAACATGTTCAGTCCCAGCGCCTGTCCATTGCTTCAAGCAGGTAATTATTGATTTTCAACATAATCAGTAGGTGGGAGACAGTGTTTTCTCTTGCTTGAGTAATAAGAACGTGAGGTAGGAGGCCTTTGACTTCTTACCTGAAGGTCCCAAAATAAACTTGTATGAGAAGAACTCAAGTAAAAGTTGGTCACTGAATTTTAGCAATAGGCATCTCCCCAACGTCATTCCAAGTAACACCTTTCTTTTAAGGTTATTATTCTGTTGCTGAGATGGGGGGGAGCCTTTTTTATTTTATTTTATTTTTTCTCTGTAGCTTCTAATTCAGAGAAATAGGAAAGAGAATTGTGGGGTTTAGATGGTTCTTGAATGTGGAGCAGTGTTTCTTTTCCTGTGTTCAGCACCTCCGTAACAATCTTACAGTCTTACTGTGGGACATTTTTGGAGTCATTCAGAGCTTCCCACTTAAAATTAAGTATTCCATACAACGTCTGGGTGATGTTGCCATGCCAGGTGAATAAGCTAAGCGATGCACTGTTGCTACACAGCGGGATGCCACTAGTTCTCTAGATTGAGCTTCCTTTAGTCCTCGATTATTTCCTTATCAGTGTTTCAATTTAAGTTTTATCTATTTCTAAGAAAAAGTACATATTTCTGTTTAGTTGAAATAATATAGTCTAAATTCATACTTTTACCCTGTCTTGAAAAACAAAAGCAAAATCAAAGAAAAGAAAATGTTATAATGTTACCTAGCATATGTGTGCTGATTTGTAAAAATCAGAAAACAATTGAAATGGGGTGGATCCTTCTCAGCTTACTCTGTTGAGCTTGAAATACCTGTTACCAAAGCCTGACAACACAACAAAAGGAAGCCATAGAACAGTAACCCCGAGGGACAAAATGCAAATCCTCAAATTAAAATCAAAAGCTTGTCAGAAAGATCATACACCATGTTCAAGTTGGTTTCTTTCCAGGGATGCAAAAACAGTTTGGAATATGCAAATCATATACAAATCACATAATGTATACATAATACATTATATAAATGTAATGGAATAAAAAAAACCCATATGATCATCTCAATAGATGCAGAAACTGCAGTCATGACATTCAGTGTTATTAGTGATAAAAGTCCTGAACATATTAAGTATAGGGTTGTGCCTTATCATAATAAAGCCTGTATATAACAGACAAATTTAGGCAGCATACTACTGAATGAGGAAAGCTGAAAACATTTCCTTTCAGGTAACAATCAGAAAATATCCCGCTTTTTGTGGTTTATATGGCTCTTAGTATATCTTGAAATTTTGGATTGTTATTTAATATAATATTAGACATTTTAAACAGAGCACTTAGGCAAGAGAAAGAGAAAAGTACATCCCACTCTTTGCAGGTGATGTAATTCTGTCAGTGGTGAGGGGACAGAGGCATAAATCCACACTGTTAATCACAGCAGCCTGAGGAGTTCCCTAATCTTTTAAGACTTTGATGCCATATGTACTATCCAAAGAGGAAACAATGCAAACATCCATCAATAAATAAGCAAAATGAGTGTTTGTACAAGGTTAATTAATAATTTCTGAGGTCTCCGCAGAGAGGGAAATGGAAAATAACTCCTAACGATTTTTTTTTAAAGGATGGTGATCAGTATGTTATGAAATAAATAGTTCTGGCGTTTGCACAACTACAAATATGCTAAAAGAATTGAGTTATATACTGTAAAGGAGTTAACTTACGGTGAATGAGTTACATGTAAACCTAGCCACGTTATCCAGCCAGTCTACTATCAGAACTTTATGCAAGAGAAAAGAAAGTGGCCTCCCATCTGTGGGTACTGTATCTGTAGATTTGGGGAGCAGCAAATCACAACTATTTGGGAAAATTCAGGCATGCAGTTTCACATCTATAATCCCAGCACTGGGGAGGCCGTGGCAGCGGGACTACAGGCCTGTTTGAGCAACACAGTGATGTCCAGGCACAGGGGGACTATGGTTGAGACACCTCTCAAATAAACAAACAAACAAACAAGCAAATAAATAAATAAATAAATAAATAAATGAATAAATAAATAAATACAGGGGGACCATGGTTGAGACACCTCTCAGATAGATAGATAGATAGATAGATAGATAGATAGATAGATAGATAGA